TCCCTGCCGTGGCTTTCCTGCAACTCCCAGCCCCCCATGTCTGCTCCCCCAGATTAGAGGCTGGACACACACACAGCCCCAGGCCACGCAGCACTGCAGAGCCCCCCCATCCAGGCCTGGAAGGAGAAAGAGAGGTCACCTGGTGTTCATCCCATAGCCTGGACCTGTCCTCACCCGGCCAAGGAAGCAGAAGGGCTTCAACACCCCCAGACACAAACACCAGCTCTCAGACACACCCAGACACGATTGCAGACAGTCAGACATAACCCAGGCCACACAATCGCAGGCAGACAGTGCTGGCAGGGCCCGACGGAGCCAGGAGCTCGCACACGCACACATGCACACGCACACGTACGGTCGAGCACGCATCGCACTAGGTCAGGCAGAGATGCCGAGGGCTGGTCCGTGCCCCTGCGAACCCTGCACACAAAGACACGCCGACATGCGCCACAGAGCCCCGCCAACCCGGGCGGCCCCGCGCACACACTCAGTCAGCGACACGACCACACAGACCGGCCGGGTCAGCCGTTCCATGGGTCCCGCAGACCTAGGTCCAGAAAGCAGAGGTCCCGGAGCCCCGGTCCTCAGCTGACACCAATGTCACTGGACCCACAATGTCACACACACGCACCGCCCGGCAGGCCCAAGCACCTACCCCCATCTTGGCGGCTCCGGGGGACAGGGGCGGGCAGGCGGGGCGGGGGCCGGGGCAGGGGCCTCAGGGCGGGCTCAGGCGCGGGCTGGAGCGGGGGGCCTCTGCAGCGCCCGTGCCTCGGTCCGCGCGTCCGTCGGTTGGTCTGGCAGCCCTACCGCACAGTCTGCGGCGGCCGCCGCCTCCGCCTCCTCATATGCCCGCGCCCGCGGGGGGGCCGGCGCCGGCCAATCAGGGGCGCCACCGCCCTGACGGATGGCCCGCGGCCCCGCCCCCGGTACTGCAGCTGTCCTCCCCGCCCCGCAGCCTCCGCAAAGTGGCGGCGCCACTGAGAAGGGGGAGCGCTGCGGGGGAGCGGGGGTCACCCCGGAGACCCCCGCGATGAGGGACTTGGAGACCCCTGCAATGTGGGGTGGCGCATCCGAGGATGGGGCGCTGAGGGAGACAGAGCCCTGGAAATCCCCTCATGGTGGGAGTGTGCCACCAGGGAGAGGGGTGCGCTGCGGGAGGTGGACACCGAGTTGGGGGAAAGCCCCGTAAACCACCGCAATAAGGCAGGAGGCCCAGAGCACCTCCCTCCGCAGCGAGGCAAGGGGGCTCCTGGAGACTGTGTGGGGGTGCTGTTCAGGAGGGGGAGTTGGAAGGAGCACAAAAGGCAAGGAAGACCCCCAAATGAGGAGGGGTGCTGCCGAGGGAGTAGCTCTGAGGCCCCCTCGCTGTGTGTGCCCCGCTCCCCACTATGGCAGAGTTATCCAACGAGACACATCACAGCCGAGGACCTCAGTGAGCATCAGGCTCACACACAATCATCACCCAGATACCCAGATGCTGGGGACACACACATACACCACCCCATCACAGACCACCACATATTCACAATCACATTCCACCACACCAGCTTGTACACTTACACACATACTACACTACCCCATTATACAACCCCAGAGACTCAGGAACACATAGAAATGAAACACACACAGCACACACACCTTGCATACCCCATCACACCACAACAGAATCACAATGGCAGTCATAGAGTGCCATGTGGATTAACACACCTCCTCAGAACACTGCATCACAGACACACACATCACATACTCCACCATACCTGGCCTTGTACCATCTCACATAGAGACCCATAACCATGCAACACACCAACCCAAAAACAAACACACATCCACACTCAGCACCATTGCACAACCACAGTCTCCACACTGCTTCCAGACACATGAGCCTTTGTAGATGCTTTTGCATGGTCACACAACATCATACACGCCATCACACACCCTCCTCTCCAGTATATCTGGGCACAGGCAAAGGCCTACAGTGCAAAATTGCCAAAACATTGCTAATTGTGAATGATAGACCAAAAGGTGCACACAGACTCACACATGGCACAATAATTCACAGAAACATCACACGACACCATCCCACACACCTCTTACACTACACATATCACGCATTGCGGTGCTCTCACATACACCTTTGTTGCACCTCCAAACACCCCAACACCCTACCCACAGGCTACATACATCCCATCTAGGTATGAGTGTGCACACACAGACACCCAGCTGGCACCCACACCTCAGGCCTCTCACATACACACAATACCCCATTAGCCACCCACTGGAGCCTGAGGAGTCATGGCCTCCCACCCTCACCCCTTTGTTCTATGAGGAACATCCCCCAACTCTCCCTGGGGTTGGTAGGAGGGATAGAGAGAGAGCAAGAGCCTGTCTCTGTAGCTTTCTCGGAATGTGGGCATCCTCCCAACCTATGGGAGTGGAGGTGTGAAGGACACAGGCAAGGGGCGTGAAGTGAGCCTGGTGTATGGCGGGTGGGTGGGGGAGGTTGAGGACCTGGTCAAGGAAATGTGTGAGAGGCTGAAGGTCAGAGTGAGAGTCACAGAAGCAGAGACAGAGAGAGACAGAGATTCAGAGCCACAGAGAGATGGGCATGGACAGGCAGACAGGGCCAGAGAGTAGGAGGAGGCAGGGAGTCAGTTTCCTTAGATTCCCCCAGCACTCAGAGCCTCAGCCTAATCCTGTACTCTGACCCATCCCCATCCCTCCCTGCTGTCCCTTGTTGCCATGGTAACAGCAAGGCAGAGTATGCAGCAAAGGAGGCTGGGCCTGCAGACCTGGCTTGTCTCCATGGAGACTGGGGAAGTCGGGGAGCCACATCTTCTAACCCAGGTAGTTGGTCCCCAGGTTTGTCTCTCTAACTCTGTCCCCTTCCTGGGGGAGGGAGGGAAGGAGAGCCTGTCAACATATCACCCCTTCCTTCTCCTGACATCTTGACCTGCAGGGATGGGCCTGGACCATGGGGAAGGAGATTAGGGGACAGAGAAGCCTTGGGGGTGTCTGGATCCCAGGAGATTCTAGGCTCTCTCTCCTCCTGCTCTCCAGTTGGGCTGGGGGAGACCTCGGCCCCCACCTACTCCCCCCCACCACAGGCCCACATCCCCCTCATACACTCTCTTCTCAGACAAGCCTGGTGAGGCTGATGACTGTGCATCGTGCTCCCAGCGCGAGGCTCTGCGGAAGTTGTGGGGGGAGGAGGGAAGACTTAGGAAGGTCACAGGGATGGATGGGGACAGGGGAGCTCAGCACAAGAGATGGGAAGAAAGACATAAGAGGAGAAATGGACACATAGTCCAGAACCAGAGAGAGGTAGATATGGACAGACAGACTGAAAAAGACAGACAGGGAGACAGGCAAAGACAGACATAAGAAAACAGACAGAGGGAGACTGAGCAACAGAACTCAGTGAAGGTGACACAGAGACACAAGGACATAGAAAGCCAGGCAGGGACAGGCTTGGCAAACCAGGAGGACTCAGAGATAAAGACTGGGAAGAGACTCAGAGCAGAAATGGGGTGGGAGGAGGCTCAGAAATGGGGAGAGACCCCAGAGATCAGCCTCTTGGTACTGGGACAGAGAGGGAGAGAGACTAGAAATATCTGCAGTCATATTCTAGTCACCTCAACAGACTGAGAGGCCAGCCCAAGGGCAGAGACATTGATTAGATTCTGTAAGAGATGTGGAGACAACAGAGACGCTGACACACAAGCTCCTCCTCACACCTGTCCCTGAGGGACACACGCACGGCAAGTTCCGAGACACAGAGGGTGGAGACTGGGGGTACTGTGTGCCAGGCGGGGTGTCCCGGGGTGTGGCCTGCCCCAGGACCATGAAGGTAGGCAAGTCCTGCAGGGTAGACAGCAATTCCGCGCCGTGCTCACCAGGCCGGTGCTGAACGGACAGCTCCCGCGCCCTGGGCCGCCTGCGCGAGGGGCGGGCCCAGCCTCTCCTCTCCCTGCCTCGTCCCTCGCAGTCTGGCTTTTCTCACCGCTCCGGCCCCCTCCTGTCTCCATCTAGTTTTCCATGGCTTCTTGTCTCTCACCTGTCTCTGTCCCATCTCAGTCTCTGCTTCTCTCAGCTCCAACTCCCCGGGTCTCTTACCCTCCTTGCTTCATCTGCCTGCCTCTCGGCCCCTTCCCCATTCTTTCTCAACCCTTCTCTCACTTCAACACGGGGGGCAGTCTCTCCCCCTCTTTGCCCCTAACTCTCTCTCCGCACCCTTCATGGCCTTGCTTGTTGTCTCTCCCCTTTCTTTCTCCCCCACTCGGCCCCATCTCTTACTCTCTCCCGACCTCTCCATCTCTTTCCCTTCTACTCGGCCTCGTTTTGGCTCTCACTGTGTGACCTTCACTCGTCCTTTCACAGCTGCAGTTTCCACAGAAACCTCCAGCGGGGCGGGGGAGGGCGGGGACAGAGAGCAGACCCACCCTTCTCCCTGCTCATCTAGCCCTTCAGCCCTCCGCCCCCATTCTACTGGGATTTCTCACTTCCTCTCTTGGAGGCTGGGGAGGTATGTTTTCAGCAGAAACACAGGGTCACAGTCACAGACAGTTGAAGATGGCCTCACGGATGTACACACACACACACATGCACACGATTACAAAGTCACCAAATCACCCTGGCCCAGGCACACACTTGCAACCATAAGGGCCACCCCAGGCACCTCCACACTCAACGGTTCATTCGCCCTCCCCTCCCCCAGCCCCATCTGGTTTCTGTCTTTCTGTGTCTCCGTTTCTTGGTGTCTCCGCCTCTCCAGATCCCACATCTCTCTCCATCTGTCTCAGGGTCTCTGTCGCAGCCTCCTTCTGTCCTGAGAGGTCAGTGGAGAGGGGCCAGCTGTCTCGACCAGGGCTGACCCGCTGGCTGTGGGCAGGGGTGAGGGTAGAGAGAATGCAGGAGTCACCGTCCAGTCTGTGTTTCTCAGAAGACTCCCCTGGGGCCCAAGCCTTCAATGCCCTCACCCCCAGGAAATGAGACCCGGGTATCCCCAGTTTTGGGGTTTTGTTCTTTTTTTTATTCCAACAGGGACTGGGATGTGGCAGGGGGAGGGATGGGGGCCCAACTGACCCCCTCCCTGGGGGGGAGGTCTCATAGAAATTCCGAGGTTTCTCCCCAAAAAAGAGAGAGAAAGAGAAGAGTCGAGGGGCGCCAGGGGACACCCATCTGCCCAGAGGCTCTCCCCTCCTCCATAAGTGGGGAGGGCTGCGTCGACTTGGGGAGCCTGAGCAGTCCCAGGATGGGGTCCTCCCCACAGACCGCTTTCGGCTTCCAGGAACGGCCCTCGCAGTCCCCGGGCCCTGGAGTCCCCGGTTCCTGCGCTCCTGTTGTCCGCAGTGGGGGGCGGAGTGCGGCGTCCGCGGCACCCTCTGGCGAGTCCACTAGGGGGCGCAGGCAGGCCCCGGAGCCGGGCATTGGACTTCACCGGGAACCGAAGGCAAAATCGCGGCGTCCGGCCTGTCCCTAGCCCGCTGGGGAAGTGGGGGCGGCCGGGGCCTGGGGCGGGCCCCGTCCCTGCGGTCAGTCCGGGAGCCCGCTCGGCCCCGCCCGTGGTCACTCGTGCTCGGCCAGCTCGCGGGAACCGGCGGGGCCCGGCCGCGGCCGGGGCGGGCTGGTGGCCTCGGCGGGGGCGCCCAGGCTGCGCTGGGGGGCGCCGGCCCCGGAGGCCCGCAGCGCCTGGATGCGCCGGCACTCCTGGCAGACGCGCACGTGGGTGCAGGGGGTGGGGGCGGGGGGCCGGGCCCCGCCGGGCGGCCCCGGGTCGTCCAGGAGGCGCTGGGGGCCTCCGTGCGCGCCGCCCGCATCTCCGCCCGCGCCGGCCGAGTAGAGCTTGCCGTTGCTGAGGCGCATCTCGCGGACGGCGCGCAGCGACAGCAGGGCCCGGCTCGGGCCGCCCGGGCGCCGGCGCCGGCGGGAACGCGACGTCTTGCGGCAGGACACCGCGTGCCGCAGCTCCTGCAGCATCTCCTGGCACACTGACACCTGCGGGCGGGCGGCGCGGGGCGCGGTGGTCACTGGCCGCGCTCTCCTCGCCGCCGCCCCCTCCCCGCCTCCCCTCTCTCTCTGCACCTCTTCCGCTCTTTGCGCCCCACCTCCTTCTTTCACTTCTTTCTCTTTCCCCGCAGGCCCTTTCACCTCCTCTCCTCCTCCTTCCCTCTCACTTCCCACCCTCTTCCCTCAGTTCTCACCTCTCCAGCTCTCAACTCCTCTCTCTCCCCCCCACTTCTCTACCCTGTTCCCTTCTTCTTTGGGTTTCTTCCTGAATCTGCCCTCACCTCCTACCCAGGCTACTCTCTTTCCGCTTGTCTTTTCACTCTGAGTCTTTCCCTCATACTTGTTTTCCATCTTCTGCCTCTTTTTCATGCAGCCATTATTACTACATATATGAGCTGAGCACCTACTGTGTGCCAGACACTGTTCTGGGCACTGGGGATACAGCAGAGAAAACGGAAGTCCCTGCCCTCGGGGAGGTTACATTCCAGTGTGCAGAGACAGGAAATGTAGGTCATCACAGTGAAAATGTAAATGTATATTAGGTGGTGGTGAGAGCTCTGGGGAAAAATAAAATCGGCTAGAGAGGTGGGGAGTGATGCTGAATTTTGAGAGGACAGTTAAGGGAGACTGATTGAGAAGAGACCTGAAAGGCAGTGCTGGGAGAGCCACATGGAGCCGGGAGAGCAGGCAGATAACTCAGCAGGACAAAGGTGCTGAGGTGGGAGTGGGCACGGCCTGACAGAGGAATGGAGAGCAGGTCTGGGTGGCTGGAAGGGGGTGTGCAAGGGGGAGGGAGATGAGGTCAGAGGAGCAATGGGGGCCAGTTCATATGAGGCCAGATGCCACTGTAAGGATGTGGCTTTTACTGTGAGTCAGATGGGAGCCGCTGGAGGGTTTTGAGCAGAGGACTGCTGCGCTTCCGCAGGATCACTCTGGGGCCATGCTAAGAAGAGGCTGTAGTGAGGCCACGAGCAGGAGCGGGGAGCCCACTGAGGCAGCCCCTGCTATAACCAGGCAGGAGACAGCAGCGGCTGGACCAGAGTGGTGGTGGCCAAGGAGGTGAGAAGGGGTTGGATTCTGGGTGTATTTTGAAGGTGGAGCCAACAGGATTTGCTGAGAGATCAGATGGCGTGAGAGAGAGTGAAGGGTAACTCCACATATTTTCGCCTGAGTAAACAGAATGACGGCATTGCCTGGTGGGTGGGCAGGAGCTCCGTGTTGGACATATGATGTTATGTGCACTACCTGTTAGACATCCACAGGGAGATGTTGAGTATGGAGCTGAATTTACAAACCCTGGGTTCAGGGAGAGGTCCCAGTGAGAGATACACATTTGGGAGCTATGGTGGGCAGCCCCAAGATCCCGTCCCCAGTGTTCCTGCCGTTGTATCAGGGTTGCTGTATGACCAACAGAATACGGCTAGGTCAGCTATTTTGGCTTCTGCCTGGCTCTCTTGGATCACTTGCTCTGGGGGAAGCCAGCTGCCACGGCATGAGGATGCTCAAGCAGCCCTGTGGAGAGGTCCCTGTGTGAGGAACGGAGGCCTCTTGCCAACTGGTGTGTGAATGAGTGTATTAATCACGTTCTTTATTTTTTCTATCTTAGGAAGTTTTGACATCTTAAAAATCTTGCTGGCCAGGGGAAGACTGCCCCTCCTAGAACTAGACAATTCTTAGGGGTAGGGAAGGGCTGAGTGCCTGTCTGTCATGCAAATCAACCAATCCCTCGAGTATATAGCCCCAACCGCCCCCTTTATCCAACTCACACACACTAATTCAGTATTTCCTCTGCCCTAAATCAAACGAAGGCAGGTACCAGACAACGAGAGACCACCCCACTAGCCAGAGTCCCCCACATTATCCAAACTAGCCACTCCTGAGCTACACTGCCTTCCCTTTCTTGCAGAAACCCCAACAAAGGCTGGCCTAGGCTTTCCCTTACTCCTGCTTCTGCCTCCTGACCAAACCTGGTGCTTCCCCTGTGGCCCTGCCTGTGTGTGTGACCCTGTGGTGTGACATGCCCCCTTTTGGAAAATGTAAGTAATAAAAATCTTCTTTCAATGGCATTGGCCTCTCTGTGTCATCACTCAGTCACCTCCAGAAATTAAATTCCCATGGGTACATTTTGAGACGGTGAGCCATCTTGGAAGTGGATCCTCCAGCCCCTAGTCGAGCCTTCAGCCAACATCATGACCATGACCTCACTAGAGACCCTGGGCAGACGGAACCACCCAGCTAAGCTGCTCCCAGCTTCCTGACCCAAAGAAAGTGTAAACTGATAATAAGTTTGCTGTTTTAAGCTGCTAAATTTGGGGGTGATTTGTTGTTATGTGGCAAAAGATAACTACTACAGGAGTGGAGAAAGAGAAGAGCAGCAGCCTGAGGACCAAGCCCTGCAGCCCCCCAACGAAGGCGTGGCCAGGGAGGCAGGAGGAAATGAGGTGCAAGCCGGGAAGCAGGGTTTTGAGGAGAGTGATCAGCTGGGCTGAAGCCTATCACCACCTCACATGTGGTGAGGCCTGAGCCTTCGGCACTGGATCTCAGCCGTGGGGTCACTGGTGATGGGACTGGCCTCAGTGGAGAGGTGGGCACAGAAGCTGGACTGGAGAGTGTCCAAGAGTGAATGAGAGGAGAGAAAGTGGAAACAGCAGGGGGGGACAATCCTTTCAAGGCTGTAAGGGGAGAAATGGCTGGTGGCTGGGAGGGGAAGTGGGGGTCAAGAGAGGGTTTCTTGAAGATGGGAGAAATGACAGCACATTTGTACACTGCTGGCCTTGATCCAACAAAGAGGGGGACACTGATGATGCAGGAGGAAGGGAGAGAACTTCTGAGGAATGTCCTAGGGAAGGCGAGAGAGGAGACGGGGCACAGGGGAGGGCGCCTTAGTGAGGAGCATGGACGTTCATTCGAGTAACTAACACAGTGAGTGGAGAAAGCAGGCGGGTGGCTGGGCATGGAGGTGGCTCTCCCTGACTCCTCTGCTTTCTCAGGGGAGTAGAAGCAAGGTTATCAGGCAAAAGTGAGGAGGGGGAGGAGGGGCTGAGGGCTGGTGGAGAGAGGGGAAGATGGGAACAGTCTAGGAGCATGGGGCATGAATGAGTCCAGAAAGGCAGGAGTGTCGCTGGGCAGCATGGATCCTGGAAACAGCGTGAGCCAGGTCAGCAAGTCTGTCTGTCTTCTTCCAGTCGCATTCAGCTGCATTCTCCTGCCTCTGGCTCTCTTATTTCTTCTTGCTTTGTCACCTCTGCCTCTCCCCACATCCTTCTCTCCGGGCCCCTTCTCACTCCTTTCCCCTGCCCCCTCATCTCTGCCCTGCCCTCTTTCCCTCTCTGTCCTCCCTCATGCCCATGGATTCTCTCTCCCGTCCCAATGCCCCAGTCTTCACACCCCTCCAGCCCCAGGGTCCCGCTTCTCCCACACACACCCTTCACCAGCCTCCTCACCTCTTCAGATTCTGCTGACCTCCGTGTGGACCATATGAATTCCATGACCGCCACGAAGACAGCAATGATGAGGCCACAGATGAGCACGACAAAAATGCCGCCAATGTTCTCCATGCCCAAACCTGGGAGTCAAGGGGGAAAGCCACATAGTCGGGGCTGTGTGGGCATGGGGGCTGTGAGGGACCTTTAGGAAGAGCACCGCATGCAGGGTGGCTGACCTTTAGCTCGATGGTCCTCCTCCTTAGGGCATCGGCTCCCCTCCCACCACTTGCGCTTCAGGATCTCCAGCCGGTTGTTCTCCTGAAGCTGCAGGATGGCCAGTGTGATCTCATCCCGGAATGGGGAGCCTAGACCAGGCATACAAGGCGGTGGACTGGCCATCGGGGCTCTGGAGCCCTGCCCACCCAAACCGCACTGCTCCCTCACCACGGCCTCTCCTCCTGTCTCAGTCATGTCCCCAGGGTCCTCCCTGTCCACGTTCGAGTCTGACCACTGCTCGCCACCTCCCCTGCAACCACCCTAGGCCAAGCAAGCCCCCATTACACCCCATGTCACATTTGTCACTGTCCTCTCCCTGCGGCATCCCTTCACCCCCCGCCCAGGCTCTTCTCCATACAGCAGCCAGAGGGACAATTTCAAAAACATAGTCACAGATCATGCCTCGTTCATGCTTAAAACTCTCCAGCGGCTTCCCATTGCAGCTAGAACAAGGTCCTTCCCCTGGCCTACAAGACCCTGCACTTGCTACTCCCCAACCCCGCTACCCGCACGGCTCTCAGCTCCAGCCACACTGACCTCCGGACTGTTCCTTGAATCCAATCCCACCTCAGGCTCTTTGCCTCTGCCTGGAACGTTCCTTCCCTCACTTCACTCAGGGCTCTGCTCACATGGTGCCTCCTCAGGGGGGCTTCTCTGACTAACTTTATTTAAAATGGCACCAAGCTCCCTCTCAGTCTCTTCCCTTTAATCTCCTGCAGAGCAGCCGTCACCTCTTGACATCACAGTATAAAGCTACGTGTTTATTGCCTGTTTGCTGTCTGCGTGCTACTAGAAGGCAGGAGGGCGGGGGCTTGGTGGCTCCCTGCTGTGCTATCCCAGCATCCAGAGCAGTGCCTGGCACCCAGTAGGGCAGCAGACAGATCTGAGTGAATGAACCCCAGCCACACTTCTCCTCTGCATGGCCCCAACCATGGACCTGCTTTCTCCTTCCTACCCTCAGACCCTCCCCTTAAACCATCCTTTGGCCCCAAACAACCGCACTCCCACCCTATCCTGTACTCATTTCTTCATTCACCGCGATCATTCCTGAGCATCTACCAGGGGCCAGAACTAGGGATACAGGCAAGTGGGGTGGTTAGTATTATCAGGCACCTTCTATGCGTCAGATACCGGGTTTACAGAAATGTATTCAAGTCTCACAGTGGTCCTGTGAGCAGGTATGACTAGCCCTACTATCTGGAGGAGGCAGGTGACACTCTTCCTAAGGTCATGCGCTGAGTCAGGGAGGGAGATGGGATCTGAATCCAGGTCGTGTGACTCAAGAGCCTGTCCCCCAAAGCACCAGGCCACACTGCTTCGCTGGCACAGCACCGACTCTACTACCAAGCTGTGAGATTGGCGGTAATTTGTTATGCAATAACAGATAACTAATGCAGCAGTCATCAGCATATAGATGGGGGGTTTTTTGGTGAGAAAGACTGTCGCTGAACTAACACCTATGCCAATCTTCCTCTATTTTATGAGGAATACCACCACAGTGTGGCTCGACGAGCAGTGCTGGGTCCACACCCAGGATTCGAACTTGCGAACTCTGGGCCACCAAAGCGGAGCACACAAACTTAACCACTGTGCCATCAGGCCAGCCCCTAGATGGTTTTAAATGCCAAATTTTGGTGACAAAATTGGTGGTGACTTTCCAGCACTGAGCCCTGGAAAAGCATGACCTGAAGTACAAATTGGTACGTCCAAGTCTCCCTGGCAGATCCATCCACCCTCCTTCCGTCCTTCCATCTACTCTTCCTCCCTCCCTTTCAACCATCCAACATCCATCATCCATTTTATGAGTAGCTGCTCTGAGCCAGGCTGTGGGTTTGGTGTAGAGAACACGAAGTAAATAAAACCAGGTCCTCACCCTCGAAGGGCCCTTGGGCCAATGGGGGAAGCGCAAGCCTCAGGGCCACATGTACTGAGTTGTGCACAGTCTCGCTGGGTCCTCCCAACAGCCCTGAGGGTTTGGAGCTCGATTGCTCCTAGGCCTCTTTTTTGTAGGTTGAAGGTGCAGAGGCTCAGGAAGGTGACATCACTTGCCTGAGACCACACAGCCAGGAGGCCATACACAACACACCCAGCCTGCCTCAGGGAGGGCCTGGCCTAGTCCCTGGCCTGCTTACACAGCTTGGTTCTGGATACCCAGGGCCCCCACTGCATTCCCCAGCCCCTCTGTGCCATACCCAGCGGCATGCCGATGCCGTAGCCCTTGGTGTCGAGGAGGCCCCCGATCTGGGTGAGGTTGCAGTTGAGGCGCCGGTGGTACTCATTCATGGTGGATTCGAGCAGGAAGGCGTAGCGGGAGTTGAGGACACGGGCGATGCCCTCCTCTGTGCTCTTGACGAACACGCTGGGTTGCTTCGACTGCATGTAGTTCCACATACGCTGGTACGTCTGGTACCGCGAATTCTGGGCAGAGTGGGCACAAGGAAAAGTCAGGAGACGGTCTTTCCACCCCTTGCCTCTCCCCTGAGCCCTGTCCCCTGCCCTCCAGGAAATCTCCCTTAACCTGAGAGAGAGAGCAAGACCAGAGGAAGACAGAAAGAGACAAAGATAGAGGAGAGAGACAAGACAGACAGACTGCTCAAGGCCAGGTCCAAGTCGTCCCCACATCCACCAGCCCAGCAAGGACCTGAGGACCGAAGGCTTGGGGAGAAGGGGCCACAGTCTATTTTTCAACCCTTCTTCTCTCTTCCACTCCTGGGTTTGGTTCGGCCTGACACCTGCCCCGTCTTCCTAGCACTCCCCGAGGCCCTACAGAAGCTGGGAGCAGATGCTCAACCCCAAATCTACACAGGCCCGGCCTGGTTCAGGGAGACCTGCGTCCATGCCAAATAGGACAGCCTACTTCCTACAGGCTCCGCAGGAACCCTCTGGGAAATGCCCCACTTCACCCCACCTACAGCCCTGAGGGGGAGGTGTGTGGAGGCCAGGCTGGGGATGACCACTGCTGCCACTACTCCCGGCACACACCCTCCTGCTCCTGCGTCTCCCTCTTTGGTCTGAGGTCTAGATGCTGCTCTTCCTAGGTGCTCCACAGGCCCCTCCCTATGCTTCGGCAACCTCTCAACGTGGGAGTTCACCCCTTCTTCCTCTCCTTTACCCTTCAGCAAGCCACCCCAGTCCAGTTCCAGCCTCCTCCAGACCACCTGTCTCCCCAAAGGGAAATTTCAGCTCTAAATGGGTCACCCCTTGGCTCACTAACCATTCCCAGCTCCCCACTTACAGGGTCCAATCTCAGTCCTATCCTGGCATTTGAGGCCTCTGTAGTCTCACCCAATCTCCTCACCAGGCTTGCTTTCCTTCCGTTTCCTTCCCACCACCCCTAAACACACAGGGACAAGCTCCTTTCATCTTGAAGGCCCTTCCTCTCCTCTATGCTGGCCCATTTTCCCAGGCCTGACCCTTCTAGCAGCTTCTGTGACCTCATTTGGCCTGTCCAGCAGAGATGCGACATTGGATCCCACATCTGCCTCCTTTCCTCCATTCCCTGGGTGAAAGTCCAGTTTCCCGAGCCAGATGGCGGCACCCCTGAGAGCGCATGAGCATGTCTTCTGCTCCCCAGCCTCTCTGACTCTCATGACAATCGGTCCCTCTGACCCAGGGCCAGCCCCACCCTGAGCTGCTATGCATGGCAGGGATCCCGACACCAAGCCTGGGCGGCTCCGGCGGCCCCACCTGGAAGAAGGTCATGGTGGAGCCAGCGTGGATGGTGCCGTACTCAATGTTGGTCTGGTCTGCCAGGTCATCAGCTGACTCCACAGGCACCTCCATGCGCTGCACGGTGAGGAAGGCGGCCAGGTTGGCCGTGTAGGAGGAGATGATGATCAAGGTAAAGGCCCACCTGGGGGGTGGGAGGGGTGAGCTACAGGCTGGAGCCACCCCTGCCACCCTGCTCCCGTGGTCATGCGCCCCACTGGTGGTGCCCCCCTCAGTAACCCCAGCATCTGGAAGGCTCAGTGACTGCTGACTAGTGGAGAGGCCGGGAGCGTGGATTCTGGAGCTAGACTCCCTGGGTTTAAATATTGCTTCTAGAGACTTCTACTGCCAGATACAAGAGAAGAAGATGGTCTGGAAATACCCTCTTACTGTGAACTAGAAAACTGGACAGGATATAGGAAACTATTTAAAGACATAGGACGAGAAACATCACAGGACTGTAATCCCCGAGAAAAGAGAAACAAATGATGTGAGGCTGGTCATCGCCCAGGCTGGCCGGCTGGATTTAATTCATGGACTGCAACACCAGGAAGGAAAACCCAAACAGTCTGGCAATCTCATTGAGTTGCTGAGATGGAGATCAGAGATCAGGGAGGCCAAGATGGCTGAAATTTGTGGGACAGAGTACCCAAGAGGAGGGAGCTGCAGGCAGAGAGAGGGTTCCAGAAATCCACATGGGGTCCCCTTGAGTCTCTGGCTGAATATCAGTCCGTGTATGCATAGTGTGAAACTCCAAGAGGTCAGACAAGAACACCTTTCAAAGACAGAAGAATTCCCAGGGCTCACACAGGGCTGGAAATCTTTTGAGCTCCCTCCAACCAGAGCAGAGAGATCTCACTGAATACATGAGACATTCAGTAGGGGCCCAAAAGGACAAGACATCAGAAATAGAGTTAAGTTAGCCCTAGAATAAAGGCCATACTAGACCTGGCACCAAAGAGCTTAGAAACAGGCCCGGAAAGGATCAAAATAACCCACAAGTAACTTAACTGCCTACTGGAAAAAGTCCATGCCTCTTTCAACTAATACATTCAACAAAGTAAACAATGTAAAATTCACAACATCTGTCCTCCGAAAAACAATTACCAGACACACAAAAGGTGCAGGAAACTGTGACCCATAACCAAGAGAAAAGTCACTCAATTGAAACAGACTCAGAATTGACAGAGATGATGCAATTAGCAGACAAAGACATTAAACAGCTGTTATAGATACATTCATTATGCTGACAGATGTAAAGAAAAACATGAACATATTGCAGAGAGAAATGGAAGATACAAAAAAGAAGTGAATTGAGCTTCTAGAGATGAAATATGTAACATCTGAAATGAAAATTTTACTGGAGGGGATTACACAGATCAGACGCTGCAGCAGAAAAGAAAGGTAATTGGAAGAAAGCAAAAGACTGTATCCAAAATGAAGCACAAGAGGAAAAAAAGACTGACAATGAGCACAGAGCCTGAGCGACCTGAGGAATAAGAGCAAGTGGTCTTACATGTGCGATGACAGTCCCAGAAAGAGAGGAGAGAAAGCGGGTAACAGAAAAAAGTATTTGAAGAAGTAATGCCCAAAATTTTTTCAAATTTAATGAAAACTATCAACTTGTAGATCCAAGAAGCTCAATAAACCCCAAGCAGGATAAACACATATACACACCAACACATCAAAGCACATTATAATCAATCGCTGAAGACCACTGATAAACAGAAAACCTTTTTTTTTTTTTGAGGAAGATTAGCCCTGAGCTAACTGCTGCCAATCCTCCTCTTTTTTTTCTTTTCTTTTCTTTTTTTTTTGCTGAGGAAGACTGGCCCTGAGCTAACATCCGTGCCCATCTTCCTCTACTTTATATGTGGGACACCTACCACAGCATGGCTTGCCAAGTGGTGCCACGTCCACACCCGGGATCCAAACCAGCGAACCCCAGGCCGCTGAAGCAGAACATGCGCACTTAACTGCTGCGCCACGGGGCCAGCCCCACAAACAGAAAATCTTAAAAGTAGTCAGAAGCAGGGAAAACACATTACACACAGAGAATCAAAGATAAAAGTGACAGTAGACTTCTTGCCAGAAAGTATACAAGCCAGAAGACAACGCAACAATGTGCTGAAAGGAAAAAAAAACTGTCAGGGCCAGCCTGGTGGCATAGCAGTTAAGTTCATGCACTCCACTTTGGTTCACCAGTTCGGATCCTGGGTGTGGACCTACACACCGTTTATCAAGCCAGGCTGTGGCAGGCATCCCACATATAAAGTAGAGGAAGATGGGCATGGATGTTAGCTCAGGGCCAGTCTTCCTCAGCAAAAAGAGGAGGATTGGCAGCAGATGTTAGCTCAGGGCTAATCTTCCTCAAAAAGAAAACCCTGTCAACCTAGAATTCCATATCCAGCAAAAGATCCTTCAAAGAAGAAAGCACACTAATAAATTTTTCATACAAACAGAAGCTGGGAGAATTAACTGCCAGTAGACCTGAACTTCAAGAAATGTTAAAAGTTCTTCAGATAAAAAGAAAATAATACCAGATGGAAACCTGGACGTACATGAAGGAATGAAGAGTATCAGAAACGGTAGCTGTGTGGGTAAATATAAAAGACATACTGCTCATGAAAAAAATTTCTTTAAAAGACATTACTTTTTAAGCAAACACATCCATATGAGCCTAATATACTGTGGGGCTCACAGACATGTAGAAGTAATATATATGACAAGAGCACCTCGAAGGATGGGAGGGAGAGATGGACGTATACTGTTGCACAGGTCTTGCAACTTATGTGAAGTGGCATAATGTTACTTGAAAGTATTTTGTAATAAACTAAACATGAATTTTGTAAACCCAGAGCAACTAGTAAGAAAAATTTTAAAAGAAGCATAGTAAATAGTGGACATAAAACAGAATCCTAAAAATCTCAAGAAATCCAAAAGAAGGTAGTAAAGGGGCAACAGGGAACAAGGAAGAGATGGGACAAGTAGAAAACAAATAGCAAGTTGGCAGATTTAAACCCAACCCTATCGATAATTCCATTAAAGGCAAATAGTCTCAACCAGTGGTTGGCAAACTAGAGCCCACAGGCCAAATGTCACTTGCTGTCTGTTTCTGTACAGCCCACAAGCTAAGAATGGTTTTCACGTTTTTAAATGGTTAAAAAGAAATCGAAAGAAGAGTAATATTTCATGACACATGACATATAAAATTCAAACTGCACTGTCAGTGTCCCTACATAAAGTTTCATTGGAACACAGGCACGCTCATCCATTTATGTATTGTCTGTGGCTGCTTTTGCACTATAATCAGAATTGAGCAGTTGCAACAGAGACTGATGGCCAGCAAAGCCTAAAACATTTTACTATCAGGCCCAATACAGAAAAAGTGTGTCAACCCCTGCTCCAAGGCCTAAGTATATGTTGCCTATAAGAAACCCACTTTAGTGGCCAGCCCGGTGGCCGAGTGGTTAAGTTCGCGCACTCCGCTTCGGCGGCCCAGGGTTTCAGTGGTTTGGATCCTGAGCATGGATATGGCACAGCTCATCAGGCCATGCTGAGGCGGCATCCCACATGCCACAACTAGAAGGACCCACAACTAAAAGTATACAACTATGTACCAGGGGGCTTTGGGGAGAATAAGGAAAAAAAATAAAATCTTACTAGAAACCCACTTTAAATATAACAATATTGATAGACTGAAAAATAAAAGGATAGGAAAAAGATTTGCTATGCAAACACTAAGCATAAGAAAGCTGGGGTGGCTATATTCATACCAAAGGTAACTTCAGAATAAGGAATATTACCACGAATAAAGACAGAAGTTATGTAATGACAAAGGCGGTCAATCCATCAAGAAGACATAACAATCCTAAACATTTATGCACCTAATTACAGAGCTTCAAAATTCATGAAACAAAAAGTGATGGAATTGAAAAGAGAAATAGATACAATTTCTCCCACAATTACAGGTGGAGGTTTCACCACTCCTCTCTCAATAATTGATCAAACAAGTAGACAGGAAATCAATAAGGATATAGAAGCCTTGAATAACACTGCCAACCTACTGGCCCTAACTGCCATTTACAGAACACCGCACCCACCAACAGCAGAATGCACATCTGTGCAAGTGCACACAGAACAGGTACCAGGATTGACTGTACGCTGAGCTGTAAAACAAGTCTCAATAAATTTCAAAGGATTAAAATCCTACAGGGAATCTTCTCTGACCACAGTGGAACTAAACTAGAAATCAATAATAGAAAGATCTCCGGAAAATCCCCAAATCTTGGCTCCATCACTGTCTGGCTATGTGACCTTGGACTCACCTGTGAGGTAAGTACAATTGCAGGCCCCTCCTCACAGGGCTGTTGTGAGAGGGAGTTACATCTGGCACAGAGCAAGTGCTGTGCCCAAGTGTGTGCTCTGTCTTGGTGACTCAGGACTGAGAGGCGCCCACTGGCCTGGCTACGGGATCCAAGGGCGGCCACTTGTCTGACCCTGGCCCCCTCTGTCCTCCTGCGTGGCAGGTGAGAGTGGCCAGGCTCCCTGCAGATGGCAGAGATCTGTGGGGCCTGAAGACAGGGGAGATGCTGAGAGGGGCTCCCAGACTGCCCGCTCCTCCAGCAGATCATAATGAAAACAGCAGCCGTCCTCTGCTGAGCACACGTGCACAGTGCTGTGCTAGGCACTGCGGTGGGGGTAGAGTGGAGCACAGAGAGATGAATAATATGCTTCCTGCAAAATAAAACCAAAATCCAACACACAAAGACCTAGCGTCTGATACAGCCTCTCCAGAAACCAAGTCTCTCCAAACCCATCCCAGCAGTCAGTGTCGTCATTCACTCAAGACAAAATTATTCAGTGCTTGGTACACACCAGGCACCACCTAGATCCCAAGGATACAACGTGGCTGACTGGTGGTGGTGATGCGGGGGAGGTGAGGCCACTCACTGAGAGAGCGTGGGGACACAGATGGGGAGTCCAATTTGGGAGTAAGGACACGAGCTCCATTTCTGACAAGTTGAGTTTTGAGGACGTCTGTCAGGCACCCATGGAGAGGTCTGGAGGTGAGGACTGGAAATGTCAGTTATGAACAGCAAGGGAAGCTGGGGGTGGATGAGATGGCCCTGGAGGGTACAGAGC